GAACCATAAAAATATCTAGAAGAAACCATGAATTAAAGCATCTAACCCAGAGTACTGGTGAGTAGACATCTTTATGTGCATGCAAACAAGGATAGAATCCATAAAGGAAAAGACTAATGGCTTTGAGTTCATAAAAAATTTAAAACCTTCTAAATCTAAAATAGCATTAGCAAAAGTGAACAGGAAAATATGACAAACCGGGAAAAATCTTTGCAATATAAAAGTCAGAGAATGGGATAATACTTTAATATATAATAAGCCTGATATAGCAATAGAAAAGGATAAACACGTCAATAGAAAAATGAGCAAAAGACATGAACAGGAAATACATGACAGAAGAAAAATTTAAAAAGCCAAACCAAATAAAAAAAGTTCAGCTTCACTAGGAATTAAATAAATGTAAGCAATGGATAGTATTTTCTCTCTATTAATTATGGGGAGATACAAAACTAGGAATATCCAATGTTGATGAAGATGTGAGAAAACAAACATACTCATTCCTTTCTTTGTTTTTTGGGTTTTTTTGTATTTTATTGGTATTAGTTATCTACTGCTGTGTAACAAATTACCTCCAAACATAGTAACTTAAAACAACAAACATTTACTATCTCACAGTTTCTGTGGTGAATCTGGGAGTGGTTTAGTTGGGTAGTTCTAACTCAAGAGTCTCTCATGAGGCTGCAGTCAAGGTGTCAGTGGAGGCTACAGTTATCTGAGGTTTGACTAGGCTGGAAAATCTGCTTCTCAGCACACTTATGTTGTCCAGAGGCTTCAGTTCCTTGGCACATGGCTTCTCTATAGTGTTGTTTACAACATTAGCTAGTGATCCAAGAGAGCAAGAGAGGAAGAGAACGAAATGGAAGCTGTACTTTTTCTCATAACCTAATGTCAGAAGTAACCTAATACCACTTCTGCCATCTTCTTTGGTCACATAGGCCTATCCTTGTATAATGTGGGAGGGGACTACACAGGGTATGAATACCAGGAGGCAAGAAACAGTGAGGGCAATCTAGGAGACTGGTACAATATTTCTAAGGGTCAGTTTGGCAATATTTATCAAAATCTGTAAAAAAATACTTATTTCTTTTGACTCAGAAATTCCACTTACAGCAACTTAACCCAAGGAATCAATCAGTGGTGTATACTGTAGTGTATCTTTCAGGATGTTCATTAGAGCATTGTTTATAATAGTGAAAATTGAAAACAGGTTAAGTAACCAACAATGAGACTGTATAAATATATTATGGTATGTCTTTATTATGGATAATATATTGGCATTACAAATAATGGAGAATAATTTATGATAGAGGAAGATGATAATGTTGTGATTTGAGAAAAATCAGGTAAGAAAACAATATTATTTATTTATTTATATTGTATCAAATAAGAGTGTGTGTGTGGAAAACAAAACTGGAAGTTTATACATAGGACAGGTGGTAGGAGAATGGATAATTATTTTCTTTGAGTTTTTCTATATTTTCTGTTTTCCATAAAAAGCATTTATAATGAGGGGAAAAAAAGGAAACACTTTAAAAAGCTATGCCTGATCATGTGCTGACCAAGAGGAGATAGCATTTAAAACATTCCAGGTGTAAAGAAGATGTGGTACATATATACAATGGAATATTACTCAGCCATATAAAAGAATGAAAATAATGCAGCAACATGGATGGACCTAGAGATTACCATACTAAGTGAAGTAAGTCAGACAGAGAAAGGCAAATATCATATGATGCTGCTTATATGTGGAATCTAAAAATGGTACAAATTAACTTATTTACAAAACAGAAGTAGAGTCACAGATGTAGAAAACAAACTTATGGTTTGTTTTTGGAGGAGGGAGTTGTTTATACTGGTGGTCTGATGATTGAACCAGGAGGTGCCTAGTTAGAGAGCAAGATAACTTGGTCTTGGAGTAGAGAATAATAAAGAACCATGGTATCAAAATGTTTGAATAGCCATCACCTAGGGTTTAGAATGATTCCAAAGGGAAAATGCTAGAACAACTCACAAATGTCTCCAAATGCATCATGTTACTTGTGTATGTCTGCCACCTTTGCTAGACTGTCAACTCTAGGAAGCAAAGCCTATGAGTGTTTTTTTTTTTTCTTTTTTGGCCTCTGCTTCTGCTATGTCTGTCAGAATATTAGACACATCATGGCTCTACCTTCTGAGCCCTTCTTTATCCATCTCATTGGATATATATTAAATTTCCCCATGTTCTAGGTACACATTCTTTCCAGTAAGAGGGCAATACACCTCAAAAGTAAACTTATGTAAAATGTCTTTACCTCTATTAGAGGATGTGAAACATGAAAATACTGTCACAATATAAGGGGTTGGAATATATTCAATATTATATCCTACTACTCATGTTCCCTCTCATATTGAAAATACTGTGATCTTTGTTGCTGAATTTTGGCTTTAATACTTTACTGTAGGACCAATGTAAAATAATCTATTTCCCTTTGCCCATCATATTCACTTCTGCTGAATTGTCTTGGATATTTCTAAGACAATAAGAACTGACACAAGAGAAAATAATATAATGACATGGATGTGACACAGGCTTCAAGGTAAAATAAGAATCCTAATTTTTTTAGATAAAACTTCTTTTTGTAATGTTTTTGGGTTAGCTTAGTGATTCAAAAATCTTTTTCCAAGATTATCTGACTAGTATATACAGTGAAGACACTATTTTAAATTGGGCCTTTTTAAAAACTATTTTTTTAATAAAAGAATAAATGCACATATAGAAATTAATATTTGAAAAAATATACTAATTAGAAGTAAAGTCTCCTTCTCTCAAACTTTAATCCTATTTCTCAGAGTTATTCACTAATAGCAGGTTTTTGAGTATATTCTCAGAAATTATGCATATATTTCTATGTATCATAGGGTTTCTGCTTAAATAATAAAAGTAGTGTATGTTAGTTATGAAAAAACCCTCCAATAATTCAGAACTGAATAAGCAAAAGTACCTCTTTAACCTATTCCTCAAAGATTATCATTAATTGTTTCGGATTAATTATATATATTATATGTAATCATATATATTAAATCTAATTATGTATGTATATGTATATGTGTATAATTATATATATGTAAAACTTTGTGACCTATCTTTTCCATTCAATAACATATTGTGGCCATCTCTCCATACTGACATCCACATCTACTTTATCTCTTAAAGTTTCCCTGATGATACACACTTAGACAAGTAAGAACCATGCTGCAATGAACAATGTATGTATGTGTATGTTTGTTAAGTCAAAGGGAATGCATATTAAAATTCTGTTAGTCATTTATTGATTAAAGCAACAAAAATTTCTATTTACTTTGCTTTTAATTTGTATTTTTTACCTTTCTTCCTGACTTTTTCTGAATCCCCTCCCTCTTTTTTTCCTCTACTTCTTCATAAGGTATACTGTGTATTTCTATTTTTTTATTGAATCTCTTACATTAAAAAATTGCTTTATTGAAATGTAATTAACATACCTTACTATTCATCTATTTGAAGTGTGCCATTCAATATTTTTCAGTGTATTCACAGGTTTTGTATCCATTACCACAACCTAATTTTAGAACATTCATCTTTAGTTATACATTTTCTAACAAAGTTTAAAGTTACTTAATATCTCTTTTTCTAGAATAATATAAGGACCTTAGTACTCTTTAATTATCCACTGGACACCTCCCCATATATTTTGTTAAAACTTTTCCACGCTTTAAAAAAGTTTTAAAAGAAGTTTATATAATACTTGAGGCAGCATATCTAGGATTAACTAGTAAACAAGCTGGAGGGGCAAGTTGCTTTAACCCCCTGTGTTTGTTTCCTCGTCTTTAAAATGGGAACAATAGCCATACCTGTTTCAAAGGGCTGTTGTAAGGATTAAAATGTAAATATGTTGTTATGTGGGAAATTACTTTGATGCAATGGTAAACTCCAAGTATGCTCCTAGATAGGCTATCCTTGAGTTCATGGAACAGAAAGGTGCACAGACCAAATTAAAACATTCAGATCACAATTTATTAAATCAATTTAAAACACAAAATAAAACGTATGGGAAGAGAGATGGGTTAGATTAACATGCTTAAAGTACAATGGGTTGAATGGCCACATTACCTGAATCTCTGCAGTATCAACTTATCCTCTTTCTGTGTTGCATCACCCTTCCCTGCTACTGATGTGGTTACAAGGACCAGAGTTGAAATTTGAGCAAGAGGTTCTAACAGATGAAATGTGTGTGAAGCAATGATGCACACTTGCTCCAGGACAGAGCTGGTTGCAAGTACACTTGGCCAAAGCTGTGCTCCCCAGGTAGCCTATGGGCAGCTGTGGATTTTATCCAGCAGAGGATCCAAAATGAGTGTAGCAATGGGTGGCCAGTTAAAAGATCTCATGATTATTGTGTCTCATGTGCTTAATTTATATGTAGTGTATCATAAATATTTGTTGTTTTGCTTGTTATTTGGTAAGTCATGACTATTTTGTCTTTCTACCCCTTTCTATGTTCATAGACATATGCTCTAATCACTTTCTGTCTGACACTTCTCAGGTTACTAACTTACTTATCCATGCGTAATGCAGCTAATGAATCTCATTCATCCTATTTGTTTTCTTGTCTTCTGTGGCAGAATTGAATATTCCCCAAAAATAGAGCAACTGCACGTTACACGTACATACTGTGTTTACAATAATACCTTTTATGTGGCAATAACTCAATAAATGTTAGACATTGTTATCAGTATATAAGATGGCTTGAATAGTTAGCAACCTAGTTAAACTTGAGCAGATCAAACAACAAATTAGAAATCTTCATATGAAAGTTATTTGGCTTGATTTTGATCTGAAATTGACAATAAAGTATAAAGCTCATTAGCCAGACCTTTTTCCTGTTAATCTAATTTATCTTCCCATCATTCCAGTTGTATAGAATTTTTGCTGTTGCTTATAAGGCTGGTACTACTTACAATTTTTTTTTTCCTTTCCTATACAGGCTTATCCTCAGTTTGTCCTGACCTACCTAGAGGAGCTAAACGCACATGACGTGACCCAGACAGAGTATCACCTTCACCATGGTGCCTGGACCACAGCTCATCAGGAACATGGCAGCAGCTTGGCAGAAGAGGTCAGTGTAGTGAGCCAGAGGCAAGACAGAAATAGATCTCTATGATATATTTTGAAAAGAGAAACAATGTTTGGGTTGTTTTCAGGAGGCAAACACGAATTCACAAATTAGGGTTATTGATATTTAATACATGTTATATAAACATCTATTTTCACATTTATATTTATATAAACACTTATATGTATATTTATATAAACATTATTTTATTAAATAGATGGTGACACACTAGCTTTTCTTAGGACTGCCTTCTTTTGTTCTGGCCACATACCAATGGTTTATGTGCTGGATGAAGAAGGCTGAAGGAACCGTGAAAAGTGCAATGTTAAATTTTTGGCATATATAGTTTAGATATTTCCACTCAGTGAAAATTAGCTACATTATTCCTATATTTCATTTATTAGGTTCTGCAAAAAAGTGCCAGTGTCCCTGGTCTGAAGCAGCTGCCAGAGCCTTCAGAGACCCACTTAATGCCAGAAGGTTCTCTTGGGGAGACAAGGGAGCTGACGGTGGCTCTGGTGAAGAAACTGGAAGAGAAACATCCTAAGGCTTCTGCTCAGAGGTAGGGCACTGACAGAATGGAGCTTTATTGCTCAATGACATTCGATGTTTTCCTTCAGTTTCACATAAGATTGATTTCTTGAAGATTATTGAAATATCTCAAAAGCCCTTTGGCTTTCAAGCACAGTAGTTTTCGGGTCACATTTGATGAAGAGGGGTGACATTTATGTGTATTTCATTGAAGATTGATGTACAGTATTGTTTATAAGTATACTTAGGAAGGGTTGCTATCTTGGGATCTCACTAAAATATTCTGGAATAACATAATTAGGGTAAGGTAGTACTGAGCATGTATCTAATTGGAGAATACCAAAAGGTCTTAAAGAAGGGCACACTCATAGACAATCCTTTCTATGTTCCACGAGGAGAATATTATGTTTAGACCTGGGGATACATGCACAGTAGATGGTCTTAAGTAGTGATAATTTAACAAATTGACATAGTTACATTACTGGAATAAAACTAACATCAATGATTTTGCTAACCAACTGAAGATCATCCTTGGTTGGAAAATGAAAATTATTTCTCTGATCCTCTTTATTTAACTGGAAAACTAAAGTTTATTCTTATTATTATTTTGTTGGGCTTGGTGTTTCTTAAAGGAGTAATACAGTTCTTATCATACTCAGTAAAGTTCAAGATAATTCCTAAGTTTAAATATTCTAATGGTACATAAAAATGTCAATTGCATGAAAAAAGAGAAAAAAGGCTCTAAATTTTTTTTTAAGTTTTTTTATCTTTATTGAGATATAGTTGACATATAACATTGTGTAAGTTTAAAGTGTGCAATATAACTTTTTATTTCAACTAAAAGCTATCTTATATTCTTAAGTTACATATTCCTCCTTCAGATTTTGATAGGAGGGGAATATTTTTTTCCTAATAACAAAAGTGACTCTTCAATTTATTTTCTCTCTAAATTATTTATCCCTTAAACCCTTCGATTTTGTTGTTTTGAGTAAGAGAGGGCAGAAACAAAACAACAAATTTAGTATCTTACTGTATTATAGTATGGGGGTGTCCTGGAACTGTATGAAAACCAGAGTTCCAGGTCTTCCACCCCTGATGCTTGTTTTTCAGTCGTACATAAGGTTCTCAACTCTCTGATGCTCCACAACACAATCACAAGGCCGCAGCTATGCAGCCAGGCCAGGTCACTAGAATATAAGTCCCTTGGGAGCAGTCTTTGAAGTTTTCATGTAAAACACTGGGGTAGCTGAGGAACTCAAATACGGTTTCATGAGGTCGTTGTTGACCTATCTCTCCAGGCTCACTCGGCAGCCATTTGTACTCCGTCCTTCTTGAGAGAATGCTGGGGGCTTGTCATTCTCCAGGGTTCTGTTCTAGGAGGCACAGTTTCCTCCTGCTCTCAAATTTCTGAAATCTCTATGGGGCTTTTGTGTTCGTCGCATGCTGGCGCTGGTGGGTCACTGTGCCGGAACCCCAGTGATAATCCATCTAGTTCCCTGTGACTTTCCCAGACTGGAATTTTTTTCATTTTTATTTGTTTCTATTTTTTTGAGGGTTGAGGGCTTTGGGTAGTTTAGAGATATTTCTAATGTATTCTGTTGTTATCTTCCCTGAAGCAATGTAGTCTGATGATGGAACTTTGGAGAAAAGAATATAGTATTAGGAAATGTGAGGCAAAAAAAATCCCAAAACAAACAAAGCTGTTAATATCAGTTAACATACCACAATACTGTTTGAGTTGTTAGAATTAAATGTCTTTAAATTTCAGGAATGTAGTAAGCACTCAATAGGTAGAGTTGTGAAAATGTTCTGAAAACTAGTAGGGGTAGAAAAGAGTTTTTAATGGGGGTTGTGTTGATTTGTGATTTTTAGTCAATGGAAATTGACTGGTAAATATAGTTTGGATTTTATTTAATAAGAAATTTCCCAGGGCCCTTTTCTTAGTGAGGTTTCCTCAGGGTTTGTGTCTCAGGCTACAGCAACTTTTCCAGCCTTCTTTTTTTCTCTTAAAGCCACAGGGATTTTTCTGCATTCTCTCCACCCACACAATTTACCACAACAGGTGTAATTTCAGTTTCTCTCCTCTTTCTGTTCCTTAACAAAGTTATTTTGAGTAAAGAGTTAGTACTTAGAGCAATTACTTTCCTCCCATTTTGGAAGGAGTTGTTGGACAAAATTAGAACATGGTACTGAACTTGACATATTGACTACTTTGAACCTTAGGTCATCTTGTTAGGTTTGCATGCTTTCCAAATATAAGAGAATCAGTGCATAATATTATCACAGCTTTAAAAGAAGGCTTCACATTGTCTTGCTTTTATCAATGATAATTTTATGAAATGAAGAATAAAATCACTGCAAGAAATAAAGAAATAATGTGAAATGATATGAGTTGTGAAAATTGGAAAAAGAAATAGAATTTTAGATTACCAGGGAAAACATTAATGAGCATATAGTCTGAAAAAATATATATAATTGAATAAAAAGATACGAAGATATAAATGTAGGTACTTCTTTAGAAGTAGCCAAGGAAGGAGAGAATCAGAAGTAGACAAATTTGCGGAAAGACACAGATAGGTAGCTACTGGCAGGTAACAAGTGAAAAGGAAAGATAACATTTGATTATTAATAACATATACTGTCTTTGCTTAAGTGCTTTATGTGCATTATTTTCCAGTAACCTGTGAGAAACTGGGTCCACTTGCCTGCATGCAGTAAAGCCAATCTACTGACACTGGGTTGTGGTGAAGGAAAATGCAGTATTTATTGCAGGGCACCAAGCAAGGAGTCCAGGGCAGCTAGTGCTCAAAACACCCAATAGGTTTCAGGAAAACATTTTTAAAGGCCAGGTGAGGGAGGGGAGTTGCAGGGTATGTGATCAGCTTGTGCACAATTCTCTGATTGGTTGATGGTGAGGTAACAGGGCTGTGTCATATTATCAATCCTCAGGCTTCAGTAGGTCTGTGAGCTACATGCTCATGGTCATCAGGAAGTTAATTTCTTCCATTTGGTGGGGGTTTTAGCATCTGCCAAACAAAAGACAACTCAGGAAATGTGCATCAGATACTATTATCTAGGTACTTCAGAGAAGAACTGAAGCAAGAGGATGTGGGGGGGAGGGGTCTGTCACAGGAAGGCCCCGTAGTGTCCTGCTCCCGTTACAGTATGTAAAACAGAGGTGTTAATCTCTGTATTACTGATAAGGAAATTTAGGCACAGAGAGATTAAGTTACTTGGCTAAGGCCTTCCAGCTAGTTATTTAAGGCAGGCCTATCTGCACCTTAAGTGTTATTCTTCGCCTCTATATTGTTCTGCCTTGACCATTCATGTTCTTTTCTTAATGATTATTCCGGATCTTTAGCCTTTCAAATTGGGCCTATTATTTTGACTGGATATCTTAGAAAGGAACCTTTAAATAAGGTGGAACAGTTTAGAAAGGGAATGATAAAATATAAATCAATACATGCAGCTTTCAGTGATGACTAAATAAGAGGTGGCAAATATTAAGGGAGACTGTGAACCCCTGATTTCTTAGTGAATTCAGTAGTCTAGATTTACTGATTTAGAGGCTTGCACTTGACTGGATTTGAGGTTTTTAAAATCCTCTTTCTAATAATATGAATATAAGTTGTCATGATTAACCAAGGTATTTCACACCTTGAATGGTGGTTCAGTTCAGCTTTGTATATACTAAATTTGGTGACAGGTAATAGCTGTCATTTGTTGAATACTTACCATATGCCAACTGCTATTCTAAGTACTTACTTATTCTTGTAATGATGTGATAGATCGATTTACTTATTGTCATGATAACCTGATGGTGGAGATGGTCTTATATATAATCCATAAAGGTGTAGCCACTGAGGCTCAGAGTGGTTTCAAGATGTGTCCAGTCATACAGCTAGTTAGTAGGGGAGATGGGATTTGAACCCATATCCACTTGCATCTATAGACAATGCTTTTAACCACTGTTTTAGTCCTCGTTCCTAGTAGTTTTTATTGTATTAATTTCATAACAGAATGTCATCATATTGAGTAGCCATATTAAGTCATTACTAAAATTTTATGTGTATTACATCATAAAAGATTTGACTAAACTATTGCCAGTTTGATTGGTGTATTACTTTGAATTATATCCTTAAAAAAAACCTACAGCAATCATCACAAACGAGGTCATCTACAGAATCATTTCATTTAATATATTTAAAACACTTGTAGAAAGCATCTAATTGTTTATCTTTTTTTTTCTTTTTTTTGTAATGTGGAGAAATTCTTTTTTCCATTGAAGAGAAAGGAAAATCTTTTACTGTGTTAGGTCTTTCATGTAGGATCCTTAGTACATGATAGGTTATATTTTTTGTTTGCGTAAAATGTTTTTGCTTCCTCTATCAGTGAGATGAAGAAATGTGGTTCTCTTCTTACTTGGATAAAGTGAGTTGTGTGTACATTTAAATCTAAGTTTGGTCCGACATAAAATAAATGCCACATTCTGGCATCTTTAAGTGTCTGGAATGTGTTTGTTTACATTAGTTTATCCGATGGAGCGCTTTACCCTTATTTAAATTGAATAGGGGGTGGGGAAGGACTGGGACAGCCAACAAAGCACAATGACCCAGCTTGTCACCCAGTGACCTGTGAGAAGGAAATAATGAACTGTGAGTAGCTGTCATCTTAACTGTTTCTGACAGTTTGCCTTTGGGCACATCTGTGTTAGTTGCATTGGAAAGGCCTTTGTTCTTTTCCCACTAGTGACTTTGTCCAGCGCTGAGGGGTTTGCTAGCTACTGTACTCCTAACCAGCCCCTTCCTTCCCAGGGAAGTAAGCAGCTGCCACGGATCATATTGACATTTCTCTTCATGACTCAACTTGGCATGTACTTCACTCTTTCCAAAGAGAACATATATTTAAAAGTTCTTTGATTTTTTTCATTAAAAATGTACTTTAATGTCTCATGAGTTTTGATACTAATAAAAAAGCAAGTAATAAAATATGTTTAGTGTTTTTGTAGCTTTATATAGAAAAAGATAAAGA